CGGCACTCACGCCTATTCTGCATCGGCGTACTCAGAAGACGGGCCAGAGCTGGCAACCGCAAAACCCTGCGGCCTCGGTAATTGAAGACGACGACGTGTCTGACTTTACTGATGATGACAGAGAGACAGTTGCCGAGAAGCTGGGCCTCGAACTTAGGTCTTTAGAGATGACGTTGCCCAATACGGATGTTAAAGAGGCAAATGGAGGTCGAAAAGGCCTGAGCTACGTCAGCACGACCGGCGGTAGGTCAAACTCCCTGATTGTCTCATCGCATAAAAGGGGAAGATTTGAAGAGGCTCTTGGCCTGAAGCCTCAGGCCGATGATCCAACAACATCGGCCAACACGCAGACTCAAATCCTGACGGGTCATTCGAGCCGGCACAAGCGGGCTTTCGATGAACTGGTCGGAAGCACTGGTGGGTCATGCATGAGAGGAAAGACAATTTTCTCCAATTCATACAGTAAACCCACTAAAGTCGAGCCTTTACCTCGCCTGGACCCGCCAAAACTCAATTCATGTAACCATTCTCTGTCTTACTTGATCGCCCAAATTAAACTGGCCTAGCTTATAGAATCGAGTTGACCTCGTTGTCGCAACTTGCTCTTGTTGTCAGGGCAACTTAGCAGGAGTAAGTCGCCCTGACAACAAGACTAAGTTGCGACCAAGAGGTCAAACCACTTCTATACATCGAAAGGAGACTGCAACCACACCAGAAGCCACACCATCTTGGTCTTCATATCCTCAATGGTCAAGCTTATGTTTAACTCACTTTGCGGTGAACGGCCAGACTCTGTATCTTCCCTGTTTTTCTTAAATGGGCTCCAAATACGAAACAGAATTTCTCCTGCTTTTGTCGTCAGTCTGTAAATTTGCATTTCATAAAAACCCTTCCATTCTACCGGAAGCCGGTCAGATTGCATTGATATGAGGAAGATAGTTTGCCATTGTGGCACATGGCAGAGATAGTCCTAAACTTTCCTCCTACTTGGACTGCTTCAACTGAATGTTAATGTATAGTTTACTTTGGATTAAGGCAGGATCGGTCTCCCCTTAACTTTCGATGCCGCCTTGACCAGAGAAGATAATGAGCTTAAGTGAGGCAAACTCTTGGATAACATCTCAATGTGGCTGGCTCGGTTTTTCTTCAAATTTTTTGGGCTATGAAGATAAGCTGAAACTCAGTAACTCTTTTGTACAATCCAGTCCTTACGACATATCGGAGTGATCAGCCGATAAGATGAAGATGCGGTAGAGGGGTGCGGTGCAATTGGACCTTTGGATGAGATTGACCAGCAGCATCAATTTTCGCTTCCATGCAGCCTCGATGGTCATCCATGTGAATAGAGCTCCAGTGTGTATAGTAACATAGTCGGTGTGTCCGACTGTGTTACTCGAAGGGCGAGCAAATAGCAAAACTAGGCCCGACTAAAGCGAAAACGTAGAAATGTCAGAGGACAATAAAACGTATCTTTACGACAAGGCCAGAGTCAATGAAAAATGTAGCGGTAAGAAACGAAATATACAAGTAGCTTTTTTGTGAGAGCAGAATAGCAAGAGTATCGGGTTTTATGGTGAACAGATAAGAAGAGGAAAACGGCCGGAAGCAATGTTTGTCGCTTCAGAAATGTTGATAATTTATGCAGAGATTCTGAGCGTATTGCAACCTGCCATTGTGCAGAGGCAAACTCAGACACACAGTCCTGCTCTATTTCAACAAAAAAATATTACTTTATGGAGGCTCGCATCCTCTTAAAGGCATTATTTTAAGAGCTGCCCGGTCTATGGAGAACATGTTTGTTTCTTCGAGTGCACATCAACCGTCCAAACCCAATTCAGGTTGTTGAGGAGAGAGGGCCAAGTCAATTGTACAGACTACCCTAAATGAGAAAGGCCAATTGGAATACATGCAAAACGATTTTTTTGGTATATAAACAGGGTTTCGAGACTACCAGTAAATCAGTAATATCAGAGGTATTCACTCTATTTCGTTTGTGGTGATGAAGGGCTGGTAGTAGAATCTTTCCACAATGATATG